GGGGGGGTGTTATCTTTTCTTCGCCCTGTCGGTGCCCGATATTGCCTTTCCAGGATATTAATGCGCATATCTGTTGTCTCTTAAATGCTCTCTATTAGAGGACCATAAAGGCTCTCCTACTCAACGAGTTGCTCGTCTTCGGTGGCTTCTGTGGAGCAACTGGGAGTCATGTCATTGGTATACAGTGCGTATAGCTCCTCCGAGCACTCCATGGTGTTGGAGCTGGGCGGTCCGTGTGGGCGCCTTAGTGGCAAGGCTCGGTCCCTGTCTTGGGCTACGGAGGCGGGGGGAGCGGAGGCGCGGGGGCGCCCGTCCTGATTTTGAGAGTGTGCTTCATGCGGAGACGGGGCAACTGGTTCGGTGAAGCTGTTGGCGGTGGCTTCATGCACTTTGAGCGCTTCCCGTTGAGCCGCTTCCCGGTGAGCGCTTCCCGTTGAGAGCGTCCCTTGTCTGTCGCGCCCGGGCTCCACTATTCCGATGTTTCTAAATACTACTTTTATTGTAGGAGTTGACACCGAGTTGGGGAAATCAGTAGTTGCCCACGGCGCGTGGCAGACGTTTCTCTTCCCTTTCTTCCTTGGAGGGTGTGCAGGGGCGTTGGCCCTACATATGCCAGCTGCGAGAGGATTGGGGCTCTATTGATGGCAGGTGCAGGGGGGGACTGTGGCCTTGGTGGAGGGAAGCTCGTCAGCTGGACGCACCGTCGGGGGCGCCATAGAGCAACGCTCCACATGGGACCTCGGCCCTAGCATCGCCCCCATAATCCCATCTCCTTCTCTTTGTTCGTGTTAGGGCGGGGCTTGGTGGTCTCTACTTGTTTCTTCTTCTCTTGTGCTTCATTACGTAATCACGATTAATACAATTTATGTTTACATAATGAAGAATAACACTACAATAATTCTACACATGTTACAACGAAGAATGCAATTGCATACTGTTGGAAATGCATCAAATTATAATCAAAAAGGGCGTGCAATTGTTAAAATTGCTTGTTTTCTCCTTTCCAGCAGAGAAAATTGCTTCCTTCACTATGCTTGCGACTCCGCGTGGTGCTGCTGGCGGGGTGGCTGGTGGCGGTGGTTGCGAGCGAAAACAACGGAGCCTGCAGGGTCCGTAACCGTGGAGGACCTGGTGAAGCAGGTGGACAGCCTCATGCTCTCGTCGTCGCCCTGCAGTCCCAACTGCAGGCGCTGCAGGACTCGTCCTACCGGCGCGCCTGCTTCTCCAGCCACCCCGCTCCCGCTGCAGGGCGTCCCGCGCCCCAGACCCTGCCGTCATCCCGGAAGAGCGCCCGCGGCCCTGTCAACACGTCCCTGCACGAGGCGGCGCGCGCGACGACGTGGACGCTCTGGTGGCGCTGCTGCGGCGCGGCGCAACTCTCGAGGAGCGCGCGCGCGGGGCGACACGGCGCTGCACGCGCGCGGCGCGCGAAGGCGCGGCCAGGGCGACCAACGAGCTGCTGCGGCGGGGCGCGGACCCCAGGACGCGCGGCGCGCTGCTCCGCAGGCCGCTGCACGCGGCCGCCGCCCACGGCCGGCTGCAGAGCGCGCGGCGGCTGGTGGAGGCGGGCGCGCAGCTCGGCGCCGCGACGCCCACGGCGCCACCGCGCTCGCGCTCGCCGCCCAGAACAACCACTCCGCCTCTTCGAGTGGCTGCTGCAGCGGGAGCCGTCGGAGACTGGATGGACGCGGCGGGCGACCACATAGCTCTTCTGGCGGCGGCGCGGGCGGGCGAGTGGGCGCGCGCAAAGGAACTGGCTGACAGAGGGGCGGCGCCCGCGCGCGGCGGCCGCGACGGCGTCTCGGCGCTGCTGCTGGCCTCGGGGCGGGCAGGAGGGGGCGCTGGCGGCGCTGGAAGCCATGCTGCGGCGCGGCGCGCTGTGCGACGCAAGGGAGGTGGCGCGCGCGCGCGCGGCGGCGGCCGGCGGCCCCCAAGTGTGGGCGTCGCGCAGGCGGCTCCCGAAGAGGTGAGGCCGTGCAAGCTGCTTCGCTAACATCGCGGTCGTTGCGCACACTGCTCTGGCTTTATTTTTATTTCACCATATGTTACGTACATCTAAGTTGCTTTAAAATGTTTTCTCAGTTTACAACGCTTTAGTGTCAATAAGAAACATATTTATATAGAACGTTTAAACAACCGCGATATACACCAATATTAGATGTTAATAAAACATAACAATAAAATTATTTGGCATAAATATGATTATGTACACGATTTTTTGAAATACTCGTATACGATTATTTTAACAATCATACTCTCTACATAAATAAACTCATTGCTAATTATTAAATACGAGTTCGTGTTAATGTTTTCTGATGTTGCTCTGCTGTAGCATTATATTCAACGTAAGCTATCGCCTCCCTTCAAGTCGGAAATATCATTGAACGAAGCGGCGAGTACATTAGTGCTTGATCTGACACCTAGCGGCGAACGGGATACAAAGCTCATGGCACTCAGGGATGGTGGTGATAGAAGTTGATGTCCTCAGAAACACTAATAAAACAAATGGCGTATTTAAAATAATTAACATAAATTCTTCATTCTTCGATTAAAAATCCGCATCATTGCAATAATGCCCATCACCATCCTCCCGACGAAAACATATTTCAAGTATTCAAGCGAGGGGAAGTTCGGTGCCAGATCAAACGTTCCAGTAGCGAGCACCATCTCATTCCGAGGTATAACGCAAATACTAACGGATAAAATGGCTATAGAAGTTGAAGAAGCACTAGACAATCAAATAACGTATTACCGTAAATAAACGTACATTGTCTTTACAATAATGTCTATCAACAGTGTCAATACCCGAAACAGCATTCATGCTTTTAATGGTGAACGGACATGGTTCGTGATGTTATCCATAGCTAATCTATAGATTATATATAATATAAGAATAGAATACAAGAATAGTAGTACAGTAGCATAAATTCGTGAGGCGCTCAGTTATTAATTGCGTATTTGTTCCATGAAATATTGTTGAATTTAACTTGCACAAAACTATTCTTCATGAACTCGGATTTGAATGTCAGTATTTGTTCATCTACCCCCATTTCATAGAGTATTTTGATAATTCAATCTCACAATACCATTTTGTAAGCATTTTGTCCGTCTAGATTAACAGTCACAAGATATTTGTCTGTTATTAAGGCATCGTGTATGTCACTATGGATGTTTACTAGATGGTCTGTTGTGGAACGATTTCGCCTGAAATCACACTGGTATAGTGTCATTTTATTATAATAATAGATATACCAATTAATTATTCAATTAATGTTTTTATTCAGTCAGTTGAGGAGGATGGACGTTAAGGAGATAGGTATTTAATTACCCGGTTGGTTAAAAATTTATTAAGTTTAAAAAGCGGGATTGCATGGGATAATGTAAAAAGCATTACTTGAATTATTTTGTTAATAATTTTTAACCTTTTTACTATTTGAATTAGATTTGTATATGTGGAATTTATAGTTGAAGTGTAATTATTAGTCTATGTAGACGCTACAATGTTCACAATTTCTTCGTTAATGAGGTAATGCGGCTGATGAATGAAATAAACTTGAGTTTGATAACAACCATCGATAGATTTCATTTTTTCAAACGTCTGCTGAGTTAGAGAAATAATTAATTGAAGAGATGAAGACAATCCATCTCTGACTTTTATTTACTTTATATATAAATCTTGCCTTCTCTCGTGTTCTTTTATGTTCATTATGATTTCTATGGTTATGTGTCTCTTAAATTTACTGAAAGCGTGTCTGTAAAATATATGAGAGTTTATGCATTCATCCTTGCACATCGGGTGTTGATTCCTTTCTGTTTTTCCTGTCGCTTTTGGAATTGTTCCGGCAGATATTTTGAGGTTGAGTTCAGTCAATTACTCATTTTTTTCAGTGGGATAGAATGAAGTTTCTTCTAGCATTTTAATTTCATTTTCTTTTGTTAATCATATTTTCTTATGCATGTCAAAGTTGGCATGGAATTTCATCTCGGAATTTCCACCTTAGAAGATGCAGGCACACACAAGCATTATTGTGATACGTTCTGAGAATGCAAAAAGGATTATTTCCCTGTAGATACTCTGTATTACTCTACTCCCATTTATAAGTAATAAAATAATAACATATATTAGGTATCAGGATAGTAGTATATGCGAATGCTGCACCAGTTTTTTTTTACACGTTTTAACCTGCACACAACTTACTGACATGTTTTCCTAGTTAAGAATATAAACCGCTTAGAGAAGAATTTGAACCAAACCTTTCGAGGAATGAAATTAAAACTTCCAGGTGTTTATTTATGACACCATTAGGCCTTCACTCTGATTGCGCGATTGAAAGATTTTCCTTCGAACCGCGTTTCTTCTATGTTAAAGAAATTGTGTGTTTTCACTGGTTACGTGCTATTTGCTCCGTTCGTGTTATTGCCAGTTAGTTGTGTCGTGCGTTTTGCCCTGGTCAGGTGGTTTAAAATCTTTATTAGGCCTTTCTCCTTCGGCAAAAGTGTTCTCATTTTTCATGTGCCATTTACTCTCTTTTGATGATAGGTGGAGTCAAAGTGCTTGTTGGTGTCAGTGGTTGGTTGCAGTTATAAGATATTTTACAGCTTTCCATTTATAGGGTTAATTCTCTTTTCCTGTGTTCAGACGACTGGCAAGTATTCAGATGTGATTTCTTTCTCCTGCTTTGTTTATTTTTTACTACATTGCCCTTTTACTTTGTTCAGATGGTTGTCGTGTGTTCACTTGTGATGCCATCCTTTAACCCTATTCAGGTGGTGGGCGTGTTTACTTATGACGTCATTGCTTTTTACTCTGTTGAGGTGGAGGGGGTGTATATTTGTGATGTCATTCCCCTTTTACTTTGTTCAAGTGAAGGGCTTGTTTATTTGCGATGTCATTCCCCTTTTACTCTGTTCAGGTGGTGGGCGTGTTTACTTGTGACGTCATTGTGTTTTGCTCTGTTCAGGTGGTGGGCGCCGCTGGGAAAAAGGCACTGCTTCAAGCGGCGAACGACGGCCGCGAGGAGGCGCTGGCAGCGCTGCTGGCGGCGGGCGTGTCAGTTGATGCTACAGACGCCGCCGGGAGAACACCTTTGATTATCGGCTCCGAGCAAAACCAAACAGATATCGTCCGCGAGCTTTTGAAAGCAAACTCTAATGTCAACATTTCCACCAACGACGGGGACACAGCCTTAACAGTATCTGCCAAGTTGCGTCATTCTGAGGTGCTCCAACTTCTATTGGCTGCGAATGCGGACATAAACGCAAGAAACGAAAATGGTACAACGGCTCTCATGTATGCCTCAATGTACGGTGACGCCGATACAGTACGCGAACTTTTGAATGCAAACGCTAATGTAAATATTTCGGACAATGCCGGGAAAACCGCTTTAATACTATCTTCAAGAGAAGGTCATTTTGAGGTTGTGCGTCTTCTCTTGGCAGCGAATGCGCATGTGAATGAAAGAGATAAAGAAGGCGAAACGGCCCTCATGCGAGCCTCATGGAATGATCACGTCAATATAGTGCGAGAGCTTTTGGAAGCTAACGCTGATGTAAACATTTCAGACAATGAAGGGTACACAGCCTTAAGCCTGGCTTCGTTTTATGGCTATTCGGACG